AGAGCTACTTTAGAAGTGTCGAAAACCAGCGATAAGTTCTTAAAATTTTTTCATTATTATCAGTGATAGATCAACTCAACTTTGAGGACCGAGAGGGAAAACCTATACTCTTAGTGTACTAGAGTATTACTCTAGTACACTAGCAGCACTGCTATACATCACCTTCAGGGGTGTTATCTTCCATGTAGACGGTTAACACAAGAAGATGTGAGTGATTAACTTCCATGGACACGCACGATTCTGTGCCCGCTCCCTATGACGTGATGGCCACTTCGTGACCCTCGCAAGAGACGCTTCAGAAATACTCTACGTCACGTCACTACTTCACGTGACGGGTGATAACCGTAACGTTGGTTCTTCTACGAACTACCCTTTTCCATCCAACACAACTCTACTTATGTCATGACCGTCAAAGCTGACGACGACCACAGGTATTAACCGGTAGCAGCCCCTAGTCCGGCGCTGGCGCCCTGATTCAGGGCGTGTTCAGGGCCCCTGAACACACCTCGCCCGCCCCTAATTTTCCCTTTTCGGCCTATAAACTAACTAAAGCGAACTGCGGCGCCTGCGGCGCCACCGACGTCTCCCATTACATTTTGTGGCTACATACTATGTTACACATTGGAAATCATGTGGATAAGTCCCCTCCTATATAGTCATGATATCGTCCAGGTTAAGAATGGACACCTAATAGTATACATGCAGGACACATTTCACGTTTACGCGTGCGAATTAGCCAACGTCGACTCTTTGCCAACTGTCGGACAACAGAGAGTACACGGAGTAGTAAGATGTAAGAAATGTCCTAGATGACTTACATTGTGAAAAGATTTGCATCTCTGGAGCATAGTCTAACTCAGTACCGTCCGTTCGACCTGGCACGTGTGCCCACAGAGTCGTTACATAGTCCAACCACCATTTGAATTGAAGACCCAAGTCCTCATATGAAAGCTAGTACACCAGATGACAAACAAAACACATACAAAGCTGTAGACACCCGTAGTGGGAGCACAAGAGCAAGCTCGTCTAAGCCATATTCAAAGGAGGGAATGGAAAGGTAGAACCAGTCCCATGTGCACCGCTCAAACCCGTGAAGATGCCGTTTCAGGCCCTGTTGCGAGGATAAGTTGGATAATCAACTGACTTCCACCCCGATTGCTGAGCTGCAGATAACCGAGAAAGGGAAGCCAAGGTATGCCTCAGACATCCCCGATTTGTGCTTACCTTCTCCGCTATTGGCACGCTCGTAGGCCAACCATTCGAGGGCGCGTGATATCTCGGACTGAGTTCAAGTCTTATGAGCATGGTCATCACAAAGGGTCAGTGTTCTCTATCATGGTTATTGACCAAGCGAGCTGTCCTATTCGTATAGTATTCTTCGACAAAGTCATCGCCATAGCGCCCAACATGTGCTCCATTTAATCATTTCAGGCCGCGAGCACCTATCACGAAATAGTCCAGGAAGGCCTCGTGTTTCTGTTCGAAGGCGTGAGAGTAACAACAGCCGGCCTCAAGTACAATCCTAACGCTTCTCTGGAGGTGAGCCGGACATAGTAAGATTTCCGACTATTCAATGTGTGGACTGTTTGATCCAAGGAAGAACTTTTTCCTAGATCAAGCAATCTACCAACGATCTGAAGCATTTCCGCGTTTCCCGAGTCCAGTCTGGCGAATCGGAAATCCCGCGAGAGATCCCATGGCAGTAAGTACGGGCCGGCCTGATTGAAATGCATAGACTCCGATAATACGGTAGCCCCTAGCTAACTGTGGCTACCCCTTTTCGTAATGGGGAGCCTCGACTGGAAAGGTCACTTCAAGCCCATCGCCTTCGCCATAACAAGTCATGAAGATCAGCTGGCAGTAGGTGCAGTATTCCACGCGGTTGCTCAACACACTCATAAACTCAACTGCGCATATCGGCCTAGCATCTTAGTGGCCGATAGTGCAGGTGCCTTTGATCAAGCCTATATAGAGGTAGGATTGATATTTGGAATCTCATTCACTTAGTGCCATCAGGAATTCGGCCGCCTGGGTCCCACAGGTCTAGGAACTGACCTCACCTGGGACCGCAGTTCATTTGGTGACCATTCTAGACTTTATTGTTGGATACATATGTTGAGAGCAGTACGTGGATGGCTGCCATCGTATATAAACAAAGATACTAAAGGATCCGTGACTTCTGCCAAAAAACGCCGCAGTGATTTTTATAGAGATATTAAAGCACTGCATAGCTGTGGAAGCGATCAGATCTTCGAGGAAGGCATACCACTCTTCAAACAAAAATGGATGGTGTCTCACCCTCTCCTCTTTAAACAGTTCGCCAAGACTTGGCTACACGCCGATGCAACATGGTACTTGGGTGCCCAGTGCGTTCCGGGCTGGGTGCCCCGCCACAGTTGCGCAGTTGAAGGCGTGAACTCAAGCATGAAAGAAGGTGGGCCCAAAGAGATTATTTTGAGTGATTTGAAATTAATTCCAATTACGAGCTTAAAATAGCACTTGAGACCTCAACGCAGAGCAGAGATCGCACAGGAACTAATAATTTGGGACTTCTTCTGGCAGAACGCAAACCTCGCCATAAACCGACAAGCAAGTCACACGTCCTTGCTACCGTAAATACTCGACTTGTACTTTCCTTAGCCACCAACAGCAGAAGACGGCTACATCCTTACTGGCGCGGACATAGCATGTTACATGCTATACCGAGTGGCTGGATTACCACTAAACGACCATGACATTTACTGTGGCTCACTTTACTTGTCAACATTCCGTGCGTACAATTTTTCGCGATTATTAACCGGATTGCGAGGAAGAATGAATGGCGTAGCATTTTGCCCGTCCAAAAAGGCCAATAATTTGGCGGATAACTGAGTAAGTTTATCGAAAGATAATCCCAAGTGAATTACAAATTTTCAACATATTTTCCCAATAAACCCTCCCTTATATGCTTCTTCGACTCAGGCTTTCAGAGTAGCCATAAATTTTTTGGAAATTCACTTTGGCGAAAGAAGTGACGAAGTCACACATAATCCACCCTTATTCCCCGTGGACGAAGATCGACATGTCTAGCACTAGGAGGAAGCATTTATGTAAGAACACTTCAGTCACCACTTTGTAAGTGTTTTTCAACTCAGGATCACCTTACCCGTGTATTACTCCGACTAATGTGCAGTTTAGGTTGCAGGTTTGAGGCACTACGACGACTAAAAAGAGTGGACATAACTATAAGACCAAACCACTCAATCGCAGCAAACGATAACAATCAATGGTGTAAGAATGAAGGCCGTATATCGTTGAAAATGATCTTCTCAGGCGTGGCGGGAAGTAGTCTCTGGGGGGGAATACCACAAGACAACCTGGCAGGGGAACAATACAATGATTTTCCGCAAGGTCTAAACACGCCCGTCTACCAATTTAATATCCCTCACGTAAAAACTATGCAAGGTGAAAATGTAGGTGGCCATTTGGCTTAAATTTCAATCCAACTACCGTTCTTTTTTCCTCCTTAAGAACAGAATGTGTGTAGGTACGAGCACTCGTACAAGGTCGTGCGAGTATTGCACTAACACGTTGGCTGAGTATCTTAGACAACTCAAGATACGGCCGCGGTTCTGTGCTGGCTTTCCCAGACTTCAGGGGACACATGTTGGACGAGAAATGGATAACAGCGAAAATAGCATACGCTTCTCAAAAAGCTGGGTAATCTAATGATGTAAAGCACATTTCAAGACGAAAACTCAGTTCAGATACGGACAGTCAGGATTCTCGGTGGCATCATGTCGGCAAGGCTGGGTGGCTAGGAGGGCAGTGGAATGTATCGAAAGAGGTAAATGTAACTAAAACACGAAGCGGTAAGAAAATTTGATTCATATAGGTGACGGAATAGACGCTGTAAGGCAAGCCTGTTTCAACTCATCAATGTGGCGGGAGGGTTCCAAAGCCATAAAAAGTTACATCGACATGAACTGGATGAGGTAACCAAAATAAAACTTCAGACACATAGACTATATATACCCACAATCAAACTTCTCAGGTTCCGCGGACTCGGACGAAACGCCTTCAACCACTTGTCGCCCGTTGATATACACGAGTTACACTTCCTGAGACCGGCTACGTACTACCAGCAAAAAGCACCTGCAATTCGGGTACTAAAAATGTCGGACTTTGAAATACTCAGCATCCCAACAGCGGGAGCCACTACGGGGGAAAGACTACTGTCTTTGAGAAACGTAAGTACCGTCCCTTGTTCGCAGTTCAAGCCATATAAATAATTCATGACTTATTGTGG